CTTCTCCAGCTTCTCGGTGATGCGAGCCTCGCGCAGGGACTGCCGCTTGCTGCGCTTGTACGCCTTGGCGTTCAGGGCCGTTTCCAAGGCCGTGTCTCGCCTCATGCACACCACGACCTCCTGACGCAGCTTTTGGAGAGATTCAGATTAGAAAAAAACAAAAACAACAAAAAAAAGGGGAATTAATTCCACAGGCGATGCCGCAAAATGTTACAATAGCGCGGGTTTCGTGCCACCCGCAGCCCCCACGCACGGCGAGTTAAGAAACGAGATTTCCTCTGACAGACCGCTTACCTGTCGCTGAAAATTAAGCAGCCTTAGTGCTTTAAGTTCAATGGTAGCTTTGGTTCTCAGGTCACCAGCCAGGGAGCCAGGAAGGTTTTCCAGCTCCTGGATTCTGTGAGCGATGCGAGCCTGCAGCCTGTAGAGGAAGGAGACGGAATTTCACCGCGGGCAGGGACCAGCACAGCGAATTCCCATGCGCTCCTCTCCGGAGGAGAAGCTACCAAGCGCGGCTCCGATTTGCGGGGGTCTCTTGGCAGCTGGGCGGCCGCTCGGCATCCAGCGTTTTCGCTCTGTATTAATCAACTGGCGCAGCAGAGACGCCCCCCGCCCCGGACCACCCGCGGCCTCTAATAAAACGTCAGCGGTGACAGTCCCTGGCAAGCAGGAGGGATGAGATTTCGGGAGGTGCCTTGAGAAGCTCCAAGGAAAACGTACACCCCTTTGTTCCTCCGGATCACAGAATCATCGAATCGTTTGAAGATGTTGATCTTTGCGTGCTTTTACCAGGAGCAAAGTTTATCCTCCCACTTAGGAGAGCCTGACCAGCACGTACACCTTTTCATACAATCACGGAATCGTTGAGGTTGGCAAAGACCTTGAAGATCATCCAGTCCAACCATTGACCTGACACTGCCGTGTCCACCACCAAACCAGTTAAGGGCCCAGTGACCTTGAAGATCATCCAGTCCAACCATTGACCTGACACTGCCGTGTCCACCACCAAACCAGTTAAGGGCCCAGTGACAGTTAATAATTAATTTCATGTTTCCTGGCTTGGTGGCTGCATTATTTTTTCACGAAAGTCAAACCAGGAATCACTGAATCATGGAATCGTTGAGGTTGGCAAAGACCTTGAAGATCATCCAGTCCAACCATTGACCTGACACTGCCAAGCCCACCACCAAACCAATTAAGGGCAGAGCCATAATTTCATGTTACTGCCTTGCATCATTTTTCCATG